CATGACCTGAGCTGAAGGCAGCGGCTTAACCCACTGAGCCACCCAGGCGCCCCTTTTTTTTTTTTTTTAAGTAATCTCTACATGCAACATGGGACTCAAACTCACAACCCTGAGATCAAGAGTCTCATGTTCCACCAACTGAGTCAGCCAGGTGCCCCACCCATAAGCTTTTTATTTTTATTTATTTATTTATGTTTAAAAGATTTTATTTATTTATTTGACAGACAGATCACAAGTAGGCAGAGAGGCAGGCAGAGAGAGAGAGAGAGAGAGGGAAACAGGTTCCCTGCCGAGCAGAGAAACCAATGAGGGGCTCGATCCCAGGACCCTGAGATCATGACCCGAGCCGAAGGCAGAGGCTCAACCCACTGAGCCACCCAGGCGCCCCTCATATGCTTTTTAAAACAACAGCAAACAAGAACAAAAACAAAAACTCAGAAGCATGTTATTATGGACAGTTTCAAACATACTAAATGGAGAACCTTTTTATTATGGAAAGAGGCATACTGTACAAAAGACAGAGAACAATTTTAAGGACCCCTCATTGTCCCTATGATGATAGCTTCAATAATCAAAATATTCATAGCCAACTTATTTAAAGGCAAACCTCAGACACCATTTCATCTATTTCAGTTTGTTTCTCTCCCATATAAAGAATCTTTGGAAAAAAAAAAGATACCCACAATATCATCATACCTCATTGTTTTTAAAACAATTCTTTAATATCATCCGATATCCAGTCAGTTCAATTCTCCCTGTTTGTTTAACAGTTTAAAGTCTATTTTCTGGAATTGGGATCCCAATAAGATCTATGCGATGCACACAGATCCTATGCCTGCTTGTGTGTGGTAGTGCCGTCCAGTAGAATTCCTGCATTACACCTTGAATGATGCTAGCGCAACTGAGGAAATGCTTTTCTTTTTTTTTTTTTTTTAATGAATTCTAACCAATTTAAAAATAGCCATATGTGGCTAGGGACTACTCTATCAGACAGGTCCATATGTTTGTCTTCCAATTACTTTCCTTCCAATTTCTTTGTGAAAGAAAGCAGGTTATTTACCTTGCAGATTCTCCCAGCCTAGGTTTTGCCGACTGCATTCCCACAGGGGTGTTCTGAACCACACGTATTTCCTGTACACTGTTAGCTAACTAGGCTTGATTGGATTCATGTTGGAATGTTTTGGGTTGGTTGTTTTGGCCAGACAGTGTTATAGAGGGCATTTTGTACTTCCATCCGGAGACACCTAATAGCATTCTGGCCATTTTTTAAAATGAAATTAGTAGCCATTGATAATCATTGGCTAGACCCACTAATTCACTATGAGTTGCAAAATGGTGATATTCCACTGGATATCAGGCACTGTGAACAAACTCAGTTTTAAACTTGGTAGAGGAGACAAGTGGCCCTATTATCATCCATTATTATTGCAAATTATATTGGGAAAATATCTTTCTGTCATGACTGTAGTGATAGCTTCTATTAATATGAAAAATTTCTGAACTACTTACCTCATAAATTCCCCATTCACAAATAACTGTATTTACAACAAAGAATTGCTAGATTCTACTACAATCCTGCCACCCCAGGATCCTGGAGACAGGCCACTCTCCAGTAACTCCAGGTTGCCTTGTTCTCAATTTCCAATTCCTCATTTTTTCCCAGTGGTCTCTGAGTATTTCCTTCCTTTCAATCCTACTTGCGTACCCTTTGATTTCTCTTTATCCCCAACAGTGAGGCTTCTCCTCTCATTTGTCTGAAGCGGTCCTAATGTCCAGTGGGCTGGCCCAAACAGGGGAGCAAAAATAAACAAACAACAAATCGAACTAGGCTCTAAATGCCACTCAATTTGAAGCAAATCTCATGTCTTAAAATTATGCATCTTTGACATTATCATGTGACAGGGCCAACTCTATATCGTATTTCTTCAAATGCCAAAACACATTCTTTTCCCCTCATCTCAATGCATCTTAGGACCAATGAACTGACTTCTCACCCCAAAGCCTGAGCTACCTTCTGGGCAAGTAGCTCTGCCTGACTACCCTTTGTCCAAGTTCTTGTCTTCTACAGTTTATTTTCTTATATATCTCTCCACTGGATTGCAGGCACTTAAATTCCACCACCTTTGTGTCCTGGGCACATAGCCCAGACTGGAATAGAGAGGTGTTGACTGACAGAAGTGAAATGCCCCCAGGTAGAATGGGAGGGTTATAGCAAGTCCTCACAGCCTGTCTTTGCCTGGGGTGGGCTACGCTGTTTGAACAGAAGGAGTGTCTTCACCATCTTAGGCAAGGAACTTGCCTATGACATGTTTCAGAACACAAAAATCCAGAGCACAAAGTCTTCCCAAGATAAATTGATTCAGAACACAATGAAGCCACCTATTAGAAAGATTAAAGCTCAGGTCATGATCCCGGAATCCCGGGATAGAGTCTCATATTGGGCTCCCAGCTCAATGGGGAGTCCACTTCTCCCTCTGACCTTCTCCCCTCTCATGATCTCTCTCACTCTCTCTCTCAAATAAATAAATAAAATCTTAAAAAAAAAAGATTAAAACACCTAAGGGAAGTCAGAATTTGGAACTCAATGATAAGAATGTTGAATTTGCCTTAACACATGTTTGCCTTACTGGTGTCAAGAAGCCAAACAGTGCTCTCCTACCAAAGGATCCCCAGGGCAGAAGAACGGACAGCCAGCGAAAACGGACTGGAAGAAGAGGCTGTGTGTGCATCACCCTAAGGTTAGAGGTTTATTGTTAAGAATGTGCATGAATTTTGAATTCTACTTTCTAAGATTCTGTATTTAATGTAAAAATGTTTTCCCTGCTGTAAATCCTCTAGTAAAACTGTTGCTTGGTAAGTCATACCAAGGTAATTCTATGATGCGGGTGACCTCTGAACGCACCATTTTATATCTACTGAAAGGGTACAAACATCAGAGCTTGATAGTGTGAAAATAAATTAAAGAAATTTCATTTAAAATAGACTCAGGAAGGTCTGGCAGGGGAACTCTCATTCACATACCATTCCTTGCAGCCTGCACAACCAGCAGAAAGAGAAAGTTAAGAATTATCTTGACAATTGCTTTTTTTTTTCTTAAGTCTTATTTATTTAAGTAATCTCTACATCCAACGTGGGACTCAAACTCACAACCCTGAGATCAAGAGTCTCATGTTCCACCATTTCATCACCTGCTTTCAAGAAAAGTAAGATTCGTCCCTGCCTCAACAACAAGGCACTAACCACACTACTTACAGCCAATGTGAAACGACCACAGCCTTGATCTCTCTGGTCTTCAGTGAACTTGTGTTCAAAACAACTCTCTCTGATTTCCTCTCAAAACTTAATAAAGGCTGATCTTCCCTTTGTCTCTTTGGACTTGTCTATGGTTCAACAAGCATTCATGGACTAATAATCACTCTTTATGGGCTTGTGCAAATCGAATAATGTGTCGTATTCTAAGTCTTCTGTTTGGTTGGCCACAAACCAAAACAAACAGGGACAGACTGGTGTTAGGTAAAAGGAAGAATTTCTGGATCCCCAGGACAGAATAATAAAGAAAACAAGAGTCAAGAGAAGCATTTGTGTCTCCTGTAAAAACAAATATGACTATCTGGTGAGCTGACAAGGTGTGGGAGGAACAATTTGATCTGTAAGCAAGGAGGGCGATGACCCTTGGAGACCC